TAGTGGCTACAATCCCTTAGTACTTTCCATTTCAGTTACATTTATGAGATGGAGGTGGGTAGGGTGGGGGGTGGAAGTGGGGTGATAGGTAGGTAGTTATATTTCCCCAAGACAGTTTTCAGAATCAATAAATTGTGATTCAAATCCTCAGCCATCTTTCTTCTCTGTGGCTAGAACAACAGACTGTGCAAGGCCTGGGAATTCATGCCTAAGAGAATACTTCCAGGAAAAAATCCTTTCCACAATCAGGCAAGAAGCAGAACTGTCAGAATGGGTTTTAAGTGGCAATTTCTACCTCTTTAACTGACTCTGAAAATATTTCTATAGCACCAATCTTACACTCACACAACAGATAAATATAATGTGGAGATTACAATGTGTTACATGGTTCAAAGGAAGGAAAAACCTTGTCTGGTTGGGCAGAGGATGTTTGAAGTATAGAGGAAGGGAAAACAGAGTTAGAGATGGGGAGAAAGGCTCCAAACTGCAGAAGTCTCTCACTTCAGCCAGTGTACGTTATTAATTCCTTTAAGTATTTATTGGAGGCCAATTACATGCAAGCTCCTTGCCCGTCCCTGCTGTCCCCTGTCCTCTGGGACATGAAATCCTTTACCTTTCCCCTCTGCCTTCTCAGAGGCTCCTCAGGTGGCATGTGCCCAGGATTAATTCCTGCCTGGCCTGCCATACGTCCTCTCCCCCAGGTCTGACTTCCCACCTTGGCAGTGTTCAGGAAACTGCCTCTCCCAGCTGTCAAGGCAGGATTTCGCCTGCGTAAACATTCACTGAACATTCACCATGTACCAGAAGCTGTATCAAGCCTTAGAGATTAATCTAAAGGAGCAGCACAGATTTTTGCCCATTTTTCTTCCAGTTGTGGTGCACATCACTGATGTCCTGAAGAAAGTGCAATTACAACATAGACACTATTTTGTGTTCTGCTTTTTCACAGAACATTGTCATACTTGCATTTCCCCAGTTGTACCCATGAAACGTTTGAGGTGTCTATACAATAACAAGGTAGTCAGCAGTATATAACTAAAATATCACATTGGGTAAGTAAGATATAATTATCTCTTCATAATTGCCCTTTGTAATGATGGTGCTCTGTTGGAGATTTGAAATTTCCCACTGTTTAGCTATTATGGGTATTACTGAAATAAATATCTGAGACTCTATGTCTTGTTTTTCCTCTACTAAATTATTTTCTCAGGAGGGAATATGGTATAGTAGGAAAATATAGGCTTTGGAGACAGACAGATTTATTTATTTATTTATCTATCTATTTATTTATTTATTTAAAATTCTTAAAGAGTTTATTTATTTAGTTTTAGAGAGAGGGGAAGGGAAGGAGAGAGAGAGGGAGAGAGAAACATCAATGTGTGGTTGCCTCTCACGTGCCCCCTGCTGGGGACCTGGCCTGCAACCCAGGCATATGCCCTGACTGGGAATTGAACTGCAACCCTTTGGTTTGCAGGCCCGTGTTCAATCCACTGAGCAACACCAGCCAGGGCTGGAGCCAGACAGATTTAGATTCACATTCTAGTGCTGCCACTTATGAACTGTGTGACCTTGGTACAGTCTCTTAACCTTGCTAAATTTCAGTTTCTCTTCTATACAAAGTCAATAATGACACTCATCCCAAGTGATGGTTGTGAGGATTATTCAATGCTGATGGGTAAAATAGTTTTGAGATAGAATGGGTTTCAATTCTGGCTCTGCTGCTTAACTTGGATAAGATACTCAATATTTGTAAGTTGTTTCCTTCTCTGTGAGATGTAAATTAAAGTATGTATTTAATGAGGTTATTGGGAGGATTAATTAACTGTATACAGATAACATGTTTAGTACAGTCCCTGGTGTACAGTAAGGGACCAATAAATACTGTTATTATTATCATAGTAATTACTATTATTATATAAGAAGGCAGGACTTAATGAATGTTGGTGTGACTATTCTCTCTACCTCAACCTACTACTAATGAAAACTATTCAGGAATTGGGTGAATGGGTCAAGGGTAAGGCATATCTTCATAGGTACTGTGGTATAGCACACCAAAAGGATTGTATTCCATTTACAGTATCACTAACAATATGCTGAATCTACCCCTTTCACTCAAACTCCACAATAATTTTTCTTATGTTATTTTTAAAGGTGCAACATGGTATCTTGAGGTTACTTCAGTTTCCATTTCTTAATTACTGTGAGGGTGAATATTTTCCTGTATGTTTTGTTTACTATTTGGATATCTTCTAGCATGAATGATTTGTTTCTATCTTTTGCCTATCAGTTTGAATCTTAGTGTTTTTCTTAAAAATTTGAATAAACTTTATATATTAGAAACATTATAATATTTAATGCAAATACTTTGTCAGTGAGCCGGATCCAGATGAGGTCTGGTACCAATGAGGGAAGACCAGCGGAAAGTTCTGTGTGTTCAGGAGCACTGTTATGAACGGGGCTGTAGTCTCCTGCATGGTGAACTCAACTATTCTCATGCATTTAAACACCCATCTCTGGACATATATGGCCCCACATGACACTATAGCTCTATTTTTCTAACTCTAAAATATTTCTTCTTGGTTGTCTTGTAGACTTCTCAAGCATAGCATAGATATAACTGAACTCATAAGTTGTCCCTCATCCAGCAAACTTTCCAAACTTCCCCATTTGGTCCCTTATTATCCTAACCAAGAGATCTTGAGGCTGTTTCTCAATGTAGTAAAAAGGCCTCCCAGAGTCTCAAATAATACTCTTGAATTATAAGTCATGTGTTCTGGCTGTTGATTTGGAAAATATGATGATCATACATATCAAGAAAATAAGCAAAAGAGGCAGCCAAGTTGACACATTATCTCAGGTGTTTTCTGCATGCCATTACCTGCTATTAAAACTGATGCACAGGAGTCAGCAAGCAGAACAATCCCATGCAGACTGCTATGTGGTGACAGGTATTTGATAGTGGGACCCAGGAATCAACCAGGGAAAATAATCTGTTAGACTAGAAATAGTTTCCTTGAATATTTGGGCCAAGTGTCTCCTTTCCTTAAATTATTTTTATATTTAAGTGGTGACACTTTTAAAATTTGGGGGAGTAATTATTTTTAATAGTTTGATCATTAAGAGTATTAATTTTGTCTTAGCATCATGGCTTTTTCTATTGGTGTTCCAATTAGGATATGAGTACCCTGAAGTCAGAAAACGTGTTGTAGCCTTCTGCTAAGGCCCAGCCCATGGCCTTTGCCACCTACGTGTAGTTCCACTTCCCAGTAAAGTCAGCTGATGTGCGCACCAAACCCTGACATAGAAGAAGCACAAGGCAAGCATCAGGTCAACTGTAAAAAGTCAAAATTCCCTCAAATGAAAATTAAAATAAAAAGCGCTGCTTCTAAGACTATATAGTTCATGAGAAGCCACATTGATAACATTCAAAATGCAAGTTTTCCTCCCTTCTGATTGTTCCTAATTCTCCCCTCAATTTCCCCAAACATATATCTGATCACTCAAGAAGCCCCATCCTCTGCAGAGACAAGAAGTGCTTCCAAGAACACACACTGAGAGCCACCAGTTTCTTGTTCCTTTTGGAATGTGTTGAAGACAAACTGCATGCAGTTCTAAAGTTCTTTTCAGGTTGGGTGTGCCTGTGTATAGTACATGTACATATCTGTGTGTACATGCATGTGGGTGTGGACAAACTGTGTTCATGAGGCACACTTTTACACTGTTTGAGGAGAGGATGGGGTATATTTTTCTAAAGGCAGAATGTGATGGTGTGAAATACACATCCTCAAACTTCAATTATTCACTTCTCCCCACAAGAGCCAGATCTAGTGCAGAAGACAGGGCTTAAGGTCTCATACATTCTAATTGCTTTTTCAAAGACCAGCTAGGGTTTCCCTATGTGGAGTATCGCTGGGTGGGCAGTGGGATCACTGGAAAGAGGTAGAAACCTAGAACCCACATCACCACCATCATGACCAACAACAAAAACATTACTCAGAAATAAAATAGCTTTCTAAATCCCAGTTGATGCCACATTTGGTCTGAGAGAGATGCCCTGAATTCTCTTCCACAGTCAAATGGGTAAGGCTTTAGATGGTCTACTCCAGAACTGGTGAGAAAGTCCCTTGAATTCATTCCAGGATTTAACCACACTTCCCCAGTAGAAAAAAACAAAACTGGTTAATTTACATCACAAGCAGTAAACTCTTGATTCCATTCCCTGGTAACTACAACACTGCATAGTAAGGTCAAGGGTGAAATTCCCAAGCAACTTCCCTACAGCATCACCAGCAACTCCAGAATCCCAGTCCCACAGCCGGATTTACTCCACACAGTTTGGCAAATCTCTGGAGCTCCAGCCCTTGGGGTGGGATCCATTTTGCAGCCAACCAGAAGCCAGCTCTTCTGCGCCTCTCTGACTGTCGGAGTTGGGTGGAGAAAGTCTCTGGAACGGAGAGTATGTTGGGTGAGGATGTACAACCTGGAGGAACTGTGCAAGTACGTGGGTGTGCACGGGCCTAGACTCCACTCCACGCAGTGCGCTCGTCCCATTTTACCTGTCTGGCACACGCCCCGCTACGGACCAGGAGGCAACCGAGCACAGCGAGACAGAATGGCTTGTCCAAACCCAGCTTGGACACCCGCTCAGGGTTCCCACCCACCTATCCTAGTGGGGGTGGGGCAGCCACTCCTAGGGAAATGCACCAAAGAGCACGCCAGGAGGGCGAAGATAGGGCGCACCCGACCCTGCGGGACCTGAGACTCACTCGCGAGCCCTTCTGAGATGCTGTGTGTGGAGAAAGCACCAACTAGGCACCCCAGAGTCCTTAAGGAAAAAAAACTCATTGCAGATTTCACCCGGCCAGGTGCACTCCCGACCGATGTTGCTCCTTGGGAGACCCCGGATAGGTGCCGGGAGAAAACTCCGCACCTCCCTCCCCGCACGCCCGGGCCACCGCTGGACGCAGGCCCAGGGAAGAGAGAAAGAATTTGTTTTGTACCTGATCCTGTCCTTCTCTGCCCTCTGTAGCTCTTCATTTCTTTCCAGCACCTGAAGGATCTTCCTGGCTTCTTCGTCGTTTAGGAAACTGAAATCAAACCCCTGAGGAACTTTCGTCATTTTTCTGTGTTGTTAGCTACACTTAAGCTTCTTGGCGCCTCCTGTTACGATGACATTTTTTAAGATAGAGAAAAGTTGATGCCATAACCAATAATAAGTCCGCCCCTTTGAAAATCTAAACCCTCAAACTTAAGGAACAGCCCACACCTACGGGGCTCATTTTGACACCACCTTAATGACAAGTTTGCCTCAACCTATCCAACAGAGATGCAAGACTAAAAGGAGAGAGGGAACCAATCCCATTCCAAAGGGGCGGGTCCTACATCGTCCCTTCCCCCTTTTCTTTCCCATCCCCTAGGTGTTTGTTAAACTAACAATCCTGCTGAATGCTGCTGTTAATTGAGGCTGAGACTTAAGAGTTGGCTCCAGAGTATTTGTTTTAGCTGTTTGCTCTCAGAACTTCAGCTTGACTAGTAGGAGTGCAAAGGAAAAGAGGTTCATGACTAATCCTTTTCAATAAAGGGCCGGTATAAATTCAAGTTGCTTATAAGAGCTTTAAACTGGATGAATGAAAAAAGTTACCCTATTTGAAAGACCTGAAAGGGCCGATCTCATTATGCAGTCTCTGTGAGAAGGCCAGGCTGGAGAGCTGAATTTAGCGCAGACTTAGAACACCCTCCAGCCTTCAGACGCCCTCCAATCCGATTACCCTCAAAAGTCGTTCTAAGACTTTAGAAAGGAAACAACATAAGACGAAAGCTCTGGAGCAAAAAATAACAGCACCTGTTTGTAGTTTTCTATAAGATTTGATCATCTTAATAAGCTGTTTCTGAGAAGTAATACAAGTGACACTTTCAAATACTTAAATCCTCTGACTAAAGCAAAATATAATCCTATGAAACTGCAGAAATAGGTTTTCCTAGAAAGTGTTATTCCAAGATATGATGGAACTTTCTAAACATATTCATATATTGTATATATTCAAAAATTATAAAGCTTTTTCCAGAAAACATTTCTTCAGTCTTCACTTCCTACACAAAAATAACTTGGTCAGATCAACTTTCCTGCCTCATATCCTTAATTTGGTCACTTCTGATGTAGTGGTGATGTAACAGAAACGTAATGTCAAAAATGACTTTTATTTTGGCCTCTGGGTCCTGCACTCACTTTTATCATCATTATTTAAGATATGTCTAGGCAGGTAGCCACTCAAATAATTTTCAGTGGGTGTCTGTTATTTCTATGAAGCAAGAACCAATTTAGTTCACCAATGTTATACAACACACACTTTTTCATAAATAGTTTCTGTGTTATGATGGTGGTTTAGGGGTATGTCTTATATATGTCCATTTTTTAAATCCTCACCTGAGGATATGTTTATTAATTTTATAGAGAAAGGAAGGGAGGAGATGGGGTGGGGAGAGAGAGAGAGAGAGACAGAGAGAGAGAGAGAGAGAGAGGAAGAGAGACAGAGAGAGAGGCATTGATGTGAGACAGAAACATTGATCAATTGCCTCCCATATGCTCCCTGACCTGGGATGGACCCTGAAACCTAGTATGTGCCCTGACTGGGAATTGAACCCACAACTTTTTGGTGTATGGAATGCCACTCCAAACAACTGAGCCACCTGGCTAGAGCTATGTCAATTTTTTCCACCCATTAGTGAATTCATTTATTCAGCATGCATATAAAACTATTTTAATGTGGGTGCTGGTAGGCTTTTAACCTGTCCCCAGTGTATCAGTGAATTGATTTCAACTAACATATACTGGTGCCTACTGTATGAAGGCATTAAACACTGTGAAGAAGTTAGTCCTTGTCTTTAGAAAGTTTATAGTACAGTGGAGAGATAACACAAATAGCAATATCACTACATTATAAAGAAGAACATAATAGAGATATAAAGAAAGCTCTATTATAGCACAGAAAGAAGCTAGTTCCAGCAGAGTGGATTGGGGAAGGCAGAATATTTGGATTGCAACATGAAAGGTCAGGAAGAAACGGAGGGTGGTCAAAGGGAATGTTGAGTCAATTCCAGGAAAGGAGTGGCCGAAGTATGCTCTAGGAATCTCCTCATCATTTTTCTTTTTTTTATCCTTTTTAAAAAATATATTTTATTGATTATGCTATTACAGTTGTCCCATTTCCCCCTTCACTCCCCTCTACCCTGTACACCCTCTCTCACCCATATCCCCCCTTTAGTTCATGTTCATGTGTCATACTTATAAGTTCTTTAGCTTCTACATTTCTCATATTATTCTTACCCTCCCGCTATCTATTTTCAACCTACATTCTATGCTATTCATTCTCTGTACCTTTCCCCACTCTCACCCCCTCCCACTCCTCTGTTGCTAACCTTCCATGTGATCTCCATTTCTGTGGTTCTGTTCCTGTTCTAGTTGTTTGCTTAGTTTCTTTTGGTTTTGCTTTAGGTGTGGCTGTTAATAATTGTGAGTTTGCTTTCCTTTTACTATACATGTTTTTTCTGTATCTTCTTTTCTTAGATAAGTCCCTTTCACATTTCATATAATAAGGGCTTGGTGATGATGAACTCCTTTAACTTGACCTTATCTGAGAAGCACTTTATCTGCCCTTCCATTTCTAAATGTAATCTTCTCTGGATAGAGCAATCTGGGATATAGGTCCTTGTCTTTCATGACTTGGAATACTTCTTTCCAGCCCCTTCTTGCCTGTAAGGTCTCTTTTGAGAAATCAGCTGACTGTCTGATGGGAACTCCTTTGTAGGTGACTGTCCCCTTATCTCTGGCTGCTTCTAGGATTCTCTCCTTCATTTTTACCTTGGCTAATGTAATTATGGTGTGCCTTGGTGTGTTTCTTCTTGGGTCCAACTTCTTTGGGACTCTCTGAGCTTCCTGGATTTCTTGGAAGCCTATTCCCTTTGCCAGAATGGGGAAGTTCTCCTTTATTATTTGTTCAAATACACTTTCAATCTGTTGCTCTACCTCTTCACCTTCTGGTACCCCTATAATTCGGATGTTGGAACGTTTGAAGATGTCCAACCTTCTCCTGATTTTTTAAAATTCTTATTTCTCCATTCTTTCCTACTTGGTTGTTTTTTCTTCCTTCTGGTCCACTCTATTGTTTTGAGTCCCAGTTTCCTTCCCATCACTATTGGTTCTCTATGAATTTTCCTTCATTTCTTTTATGGTAACCTGCATTTTTTCATCTAATTTGCACCCAAAATCAACCAATTCTGTGAGCTTCCTGATCACCAGTGTTTTGAACTGTGCATGTGATAGGTTAGCTATCTCTTAGTTGCTCAAAAGGATGAGTCCTGGGGCATTGATTTGTTCTTCTGTTTGAGCCATCTCTCTCTCTCTCTCTCTCTCTTTTTTTTGGTCTGGTCGCTCCTGTTATGGTGAAGGGCAGAGCCTTAGGTGCTCACCAGGGCTGGGCACCCCCGCCCTCCGTCTCTAGATTGTGACGTTGTATGTGGGGGCAGGGTCAGGAGGGAACAATGGTGGTAGCTCCGTTCTCCATGGGACCTCAGTCCCTTCTCTGGGATCCTGGGTTGCGTGCTCTGCTCTGCTCCACAATCACTGCCTGACTGGGTCTACCAGCTGCTGCTTGCGTACTCAGGGTCCACCCACTGCGATCTTGCCTGGCCCAGATGCCTTATGCACCCCCAGTTGCCTTATACGCCCAACTCTCTCTGCTCTCCATGCCGTGACCCGCACCTGGATACTCATCTCTGCCCCTCCTACCAGTCTGGATGAACAGGTCTACTTCAACTTCTTGGCTGTCCATCTTCCATTCCGATAAATTCTTTATCAGTTCTGGGTGTTATTCTGCCTCGAAATTGTTGTTGTTCCAATCTTGGTTGTGCGTGGAGGTACAGTGTGTCTACCTATGCCTCCATCTTGGCTGGAAGTCCAGAATCTTCTCATCATTTTTCAAAAAAATAGGTAAAGTGAGCAAGAACTGGGAAGCTAGAAAATACAGGGACATATTCAGGAATTGGTAAGTGATCTGTTTTGTTTAGAGTACACTTTCTCAATAGGAAGGTGTTGCTCCTAATGGAGCAAAAGTTGGTTCTTGGAGAGTAATAACATGTTACTTTGAAATACAAAGTACAGAACATAAACATATGTACAGTACATAAATAGATATGCAGTATATTGGTGGCAACATCATTTTATGAGGGGGGTAGTTAAGAAAATAATCCTCAGAAGGCTCCTTAGTGGGGACCATAATGAAAAAGGAGTTGAGAAACACGGGGCTAGTGCATAGGGCATATGAAGAGCAAAAAACGCTGAGACCTGACTATGAATCTCTGCTGAGGAGCCTGGGCTCCATGTGTAAGCAATAAAGGGTCAGCATGAGTTTTTGAGGATGACTATGATATGGCTGAAATGGAACAGTGTAAAGATGAGTGTGGTAGCAGCAGTAAATAAGGAAGAGGAGAGTAAGGGTGGTGGCAAGGACACCACTGTGTTGGAATGCTGATGTAGGAGAGGGAAAGAGGACCTCAGCTAAAGCAGTGGAAGTAGGAATAGAAAAGAAAGGTTGGATTCCAAAGATATTGGACAAAGATATTCTTAAAAATGGGATGGAGAAGTAGATTTGGAAGTTACCTGCTTACAAATAACTGCCAAAACCCTGAGACTGGGTGGGATGGCCAGAGCAAAGGGTTCACAGAGAGCTGAGGCTCAGCTCAGATCCTTGAATGACTGTATCATGCATTGTCACCAAGGCATGCTTCAGCCCTTGGTGACAATGGCTGAGCAGGGCATCCAATTGAGAAAGTTTTAAATTGAGGTTTTATAATGAAAAATTTGCAAAGCATTGAAGGTTGCTTTACAAACATACAGGATAATTTCTGTAAGGCCATAAACTTCATGCTTTTAAAGTAAAAATAATTCTTTTTTAAAGATTTTATGTATTATTTTTAGAGAGAGGGGAAGGGAGGGAGAGAAGGAGAGAAATATCAGTGTGTGGTTGCCCCTCACACACCCCCTACTGGGGGCCTGGCCAGCAACCCAAGCATGTGCCCTGACTGGGAATTGAACTGGTGACCCTTTGGTTCACAATCTGGCACTCAATCCACTGAGCCACATCAGCTGGGGTATAAGAATAACTCTTAAAATGTTGTTTGATAGACTCATTCAGCCAAGTCTAAGCTGCTATTTTTTTTTTTATTGTTGACATTACTATAGATGTCCCATGCTCCGCTTTTCCACTTAGCATCTGGTAACCCT